TTGGGTTGGCCACCCCAGCATCTTCCCCATCTATGAGCTGCTGGAGTTTGTAAAGGGAGTGATTCTGTGGAATGATAAGATCTCCATGACTCAGGGCAACTGCGGGATGTCCGAGAGGAGTTTCGGTGAGGGGCCAGTGAGGACGGTGTGCCAGAGGCCTTGAACCAGACCAATGACTCAGGCAATGAACATTTTGTGGGTGGGGCTGGCTGGACGAAAGGGTACACTTTGTGACACTTCAGTTCCTGATTCCAGTAGGATAAATGAAGAGATGTTGGAAAGACAGAGGAACAAAGTGTTGTTTTTTTTTTAAATGGATTCTTTTGGGGGTTTCCCTTGATGGGGGATGCTGCAGGGTGAGGGGAGAATGTGGAGGGACTGGGAAGTGAGCAGGATTGGGATGCGAAATTCCCAAAGAATCAATAAAGAATTATGTTATAAAAAAGATGTTTTGATTCTTATGTTGATATACCTTTTATTCTTCCTTGTAAGACCAGAGTCACAATTTAGGATAGCCTGGATTTGATAACATAGAACTGAATGGGACTGAGGAATCTTGTTCTTCTTTACCTGAGCTACATAAGGCCTCTTATCTTGTTAGGCTAGAATTTGTACCAAGGACACAGACAGGATCTCCAAACTAACCCAAAATACCATGTGTAGCTACTGTAACTTTGAAGAGAGAAATTTTAATTCTTTTTTAGTACCACTTTAATTCCTCCTCAATTTAAACTCCTATTTGATAACTTGAGAAACCTTGGCTGTGGAAAATAGCACTTCATTCCCCCTCATTCCTCTTATGATCTTTACACGGCAGAAGAAGGAAATCTCTGTGCACAGAGAGCCAGAGGGGCAGCCTTTGTCCTGTTTTATTTCTTACTTGGGGTCAGAGGTTACTTAAACCTTGTGGCTTAGTTTCTTCAATGCTACAGAGGCAATTGCATCCGGTGCTTCAGAGAAAATCTGAAAAATGAAAATAATAAATACAGGCTAGCATCATATTATTGTTATTAGTTGTTGTTGATGGGTGGCATTTCTAGACACAAAGAACAAGGCAGAGAGTGCAATGGCCTCCCTCACGTGTGGAGACAATGGACTCGGTGATGAGGTCCGAAGGACTGAAAACTGGAAGAGTCAACACAGGTAACTGTAAGGTGCTAAAAACCTAACAAAGGTACAATCTTGAAAGACCCGTACACATTTTAAATTAGTTTTTAATTATATAGTTTGCTCTCTAGACCCTTAGGTAGCAGACATCTGTTGATTTCTTTTCCCTGCCTTGTAACCTACTGGCAGCAGCAACCTTTCCCCTGAGTGGCTTTGTCCCAGTGGACTGATGACCAGGTGCAGTTGTTAAGTTTGATAGGGGTGGGCATGCCTATAGATTCCCAGGTGGTCAAGCCGGTGAGCATCCCCCCTTGAAGTTATTCAGATATATCCTGAAAGGACAAGTCTCTTATGCTCTTATGCAGGTTCTTTGGAAGGCTTCCATTTTGTATAGCCACATGCCTTGATCCCACCTGCCTTGCTGCCTGGAGTCACTTGTGACCGGGTATTAAAAGAATCTGAATTTTACAATCCTGAACTTAATTTTCCCTCATAAATAGCAAGTCTGTTAAGTATATAGTGGAGTTTCGAAGTAGTTAAGACTGTGTATTTAAAAAGAGAAGGCTCTGGAATCTTTTGACCAAAAACCAAAACACACAGAAGAAGAAGGAAGAGAAGGAGGAAAGAAAGAAAGAAAGAAAGAAAGGAAGGAAGAAAGAAAGGAAGAAAGAAAGAAAAAAAAAGGGTGTAACTTTTTACATACATTTTTGAGGGGGCCAGGTGAGGAAGATAGGGTTTCACTGGCCTGGAACCAAAGATTCTCTTGCCTTAGCCTATAGTGGATGTAAGGAAATCTCAGTGAGGAGCCATCAAGTTTGTTTGTTTGTTTGTTTATTTATTTATTTATTGCTAAATAGCAAGTCTATTGATAACTGTGATGCCTCCAGGTACTTCAAATACTTTGTTACCATCCAACATCCAGTGTCCAGATTTCTCAAACTGTCTTCAAAATTGTATTGCAAAGTCTTTGGTTTATTTGAATCAATACTCACAAAATGATGACTGGCATGGTGGCGCATGCCTACAATCTTGGCATTGGGGAGGATGAGGCAGGAGGACTGATGTGGGAGCCAGGCCATCTGTACTATTGACTGTCTCATTCCCTGTCTCTGCCCCCACCCCATCCCCCAATCCACTTAATGAAACAAAGTTTTATCATCAAGCACATTGGTTGGATACAATTTATTTCTTAAAAAACTAAACAAAACAAAAAAACCAATACTTTGTTACTTTAACATAGTCCAGTGAACAACAGCATTTAGACTTTACTTCAAGGTTCCTTCATGTGCTTCACAAGTAACAGATACCGTGCTTGTGATGAAGTTGCTTGAACTTAACTTTGGACATCAGAAGCCAAAAGAGAGTAATGAAAAGGACACACACCAATTTATTTGGCGTGTTTAACAAGCGGAGACCTCATTCCTTCCAGGGATAGACTGGTTTTGCTTCAACCTTCTAAAATGTCATTATAGCTCCCATTTTTTTTTCTGCAAAGAGTTCCAAGGAGTAAAGAGTTAGAGACCTTTAGCACACATAATCTCTACCATCTCATCAAATGAGGCAGGCGGATGCATTCCCAAGTAGGTTCAGTATTACAAGTTTCCTGAACAGTAACCCCTACCCACCACAGTAGTCCATTAGCCTTAAGGCCCTCTTCATTAGGACTCGCGGCCCTAACCCTGACCCTAACAATCAATACCTATCGTTTACTTATTTTATTGTTTCATATGCGCACTACTCCTATCTTTAAAAAAAATTACATTTGTTTCTTTAGTTGTGTGTGTTTAAATATGTTGGCACACAAGTGCCATGGTGTGGTTGTGGAAGTAGGTATGTGTGGTCCCTGGGGATTGAACTCAGGTTATCAGACTTGGTGACAAGTGCCTTACCCACTGAGTCATCTTGCAGATATCAATATCTCTATCTTAAAAAGACTCCTGAAGCCAAAATCGTATTTATTGTTATCACTGTATTATTAAGTTAGAAAGTTTTTAAAAACGCGTCCAGAGCGCTCGATTTATGGGTCTGCTTTGCATCTTGGGTTGAAATTCCAGCAGTGTGCGGCCACACTCGGCTCTCAGCTTGGTCATTTTTACTGCAACTTCCCTTCCGCTGTCTGCTTGTTCTATCAGACCTGTAGGTAGTTCTGATGTGGGACTGAAACTCATGATCTTTTGGCTTGGGCTCTGCCAACTGAGTCATTCTGGCACTGACAATATTCCGTGACTCAGCAGGTCCGAAAAGGAGGATGTCAGAATCCAGATAATGTCGAGTCTTTTAAAGGCAAACTTGGAAGCACAAACACAGTGGAAGAATTTCAAAGCGAGTCTGCATATCCACGGGGAGAATGTCATTCCATTCCCAGCCTTCTCACTTCCTTCCTTGCCAGGGTAAATGACAGTTACACTTTAATTTAGAGCAAGGAAATCACGAAATTGACTCGGAAGCTGAGATTGGACCCAGCCCCTTGGATAACCCGGGATGTCTCTTCTCAGCGGGGTTAAGCGCTTGTTCGGCGCTTCAGGAGGCATCCCAGGGACTGTGGCGAGACCGAGGTCACGCAGGTCGCCGCACGATTGCGGGGTCATTCAGGCCCCAGCGCCAGGTAGTGGCTGGGCTATACCGTAACGACTGACACCTGGCTGGACCACGGTCCAAGTCATCGTGAAGTCAAAAGACGGATTCCAAGCCACCTCACCCACCCGCGTTGCCCTTTAAGAATCTCCTCTTAGTCCCCGAGATCCTCCAAGGCAAAAGATCCTTAGGACGAAGAACCAGGGGAAGGATTCCAGAAGGGTGCGGGATCTCCACTGAGGCCCCTGCCCTCCCAGCATGCAACGCCCCGGGTCCCACACCCCACGCCCCGCCCTCCTCCCTTCACTCACACTCCCTCCCCGCCCACCTTGGGCCTCTCCCTCTTATACCCTCGCCCAGCCCACCTCTAGTCACGCCCATCCAGAAGCCCTCCTTCTTGCCCCCTCTCCTCTTCTATCTCGCGCCCCTCCCTCCTGCTCCCTCGCCCCGCCCACCTCGTACGCCCCTCCCTCTTGCTCCCGCCCCGCCCACCTCCCTTCTCGGGCCCACCGCCCTCTAGGGCCGGAGCGCCAGTGGTTGCCCCTGCCGCCGCCGGGAGTCGCTGGGGAGGACGCGTAGGGCGGGGAGCCGCTCCCGACCCGCGTGAGCTGCCGAGGAGGCCGGTCTTGGGTTTTCTCCTCCGCCAGATCCCACCCCACCCGGCAGACCCCACCCCCTGCTCCTTCCTCCTGGGGCGCGCTCTCGGGTGCGCGCTCGGAAGTCGGGGGTCGGCGCACAGTGCGAGCTGCACACCGGGAGGCAACGGAGGCAGCGCGGTCTTCGCCCAGGACGCCCACCCATCGGCTTTGCGCCCGGTTCTCGGCCGCCAGCTCGGTCCACAGCCCAGCCTCGGCCCGCAGCGGAGGAGCAGCCTCGGGGCACCCCAGCCTTCGCCGAGGGCCCGAGCGTGGTGGGATGA